ATTTTTTTTATTTAAATATTTAACTGTATTTTATCTCATTGTTGTTCCTTATTTTAGTAAACGATTTGTTAGATATAATACTGTTAGTCTATATTGTTGTAAATTATAAATAAGTAAATAAATAAATAAATAATAAATATACTTCGTCATCATCATCATCAACAGCTTATAAATGCCTACTGCTGACCAAAGCCTCAAGTGAAACAAGTGAATGTATTTCTGGAAATAGGCTACAAGGCAGCACTTTTACACGTCAATATTCCTCTTTTCACATATCTGTGTCGAAACGCGCTGATCACTTACCACCCGGTGATGACACATTTACTTATTCGACCTTCTTTCCCATATAAATTGTCTCAATTTCTATCGACACTTTGCTCAGTAAAAAATACAATAACCTTCATTTTTTATCGACACCTGTTTCTATCGACACTATCCCCTCTCTACCTCAACCTCGAGTCCTCGTGTTCGCATTGCAAATGAAATTTCATTCAGTTTTCACCCTTTTGCCTCGAGCCAGTGTTTAACTTAGTTAAATAGTTTGATATTAGCCTTTTTGGTATAAGATACAGATACCAGACAGCAGACTGTGATTATTAAATTCTGTGAAGTTAAATTATTGTTTAAGAGAAGATCTTTGACTATGAATTAAATGAAAGGGTCTTTATTATCGATCGAAAAAAAGAAAAAAGTCGCGGAGAACCTAACGGGTAACCGGGGCTCCGGCTCGACGTGCAGGAGAAGGAACGGGGTGGTTTTTAGTCAGTAAGAGTCTGACACTCCCTCCCGCCTCACCCAGGCGGGAGCAGTCATTCGATGATTTTACCCCTTAAAAAAAAATCGATCGAAAAAAATAACCTTAAACTGTCAAACACCAAGCGGTCACCGGTGACCGCAACCTATTGTTCTATAATTGTGTCTACAAAACCGGTACTCGACGAGTTAAAGACAATAAATAATACAGTCTGGAGCTGACCAATCCCAGTTGACGGCGCCCGTTCACGAACATGACACGTACACCAGCACCGCCCAACTCAACCATATTGTAGGGAATCGAGCTATCCGTTGCACTGTAGCTTTGAGAAGGAGTAATGTAAGAAAGTTCTTCAAAAACAGTTTCAAATATTTTGACATGTGTTTAAAAAAAGCGCTACCCGGTCTCTATCAAATGTGTAGTCCCTTAGTCGGGTATACGACACCCACGGGAAGAGTAGGGGTGGTGTCATTAATGTACTCTACTCCTCACACGGCTATCTACTCAAACATTACGGCTCAACCGGAGTGATACCACGGCCTCACAGAAAACCGACGTGAAGCAAAGCGTTGTGTTTCGTCGTGCGAGTGAGGTCACCGGAGGCCTAATTACGCCCCAATTACTCATTCCCCAATCATTGAATCTCAAATAATCCTCAAATTCGTATTCCCTAGAAGACCAGTGTATTTATCCAAACGCCACTTTAGCGCTTGTCTACAGAGAGGGTAGAAATCAAAATGTATGGGGATGACACTGACAAGTGTCAAAATTTACGTCAATTCCATATAATTTGGTTTTCTATTCTACATGTAGACAACAGCTGCTGTAACGCACTTGTAACGACTCTGATGTTCCAGATGTCCATGGGGGCGCCGGATGCTTACCATCAGGTGATCCGTCTACTCGTTTGCCTCCTATTCCATAAAAAAAATAAATAAAAAAACATAGCAGTTTAAAATTAAATTCCCCTAAAATTTTATTCTACATCATACCCGATTAACTTCACAAGGGCTTCGGTTGACTTCGGCTTAGTTCGGCTATTTCCGCCGATTGGAACCCCGCGTACAGAATTGACCTGTCGAGTCAGGAGCTCTCAATATGAACGAGAGGTCTTCAAATTCGGGTGTCGATGAATTTTGACCCCAATTTCCAATTGAATTGAATTGAGCGAATTATTTATTAATATCGTTGTTATTATGGGCGTAAGTAGAAATGTGTTTGTTAGAAATTATTTTACTGAATTTGTCTATCACTATCAACAGCCTATAAATGCCCGCTGCTGAGCAAAGCCTCTTTTCACACGGAGAAGGTTTGAGCATTAATAACCACGCTTGCTCAATGCGGGTTGGTGATTTCAAACTTATAATTAGAAATTATAAGCCCAGGTTTCCTCACGATGTTTTCCTTCACTGTTTGTCAGTGGTGTCTGAATAATCTTAGATAGTACATACAACTCGGAAGAAGTCACATTGGTACTTGCCGTTGGTAGGTTTCGAGCCCGCACCCTCATGCATGAGAAGTGGGCGTCTTAAACCTCTGGGCCACCACGACACGAATTTGTTTAACTTGTCGAATTCTATTACTTTATAATTTTACATTACATTTCACACTCTACTCTGCATGTACTGCTTTACGTCCGTTGCGTCACAGCCACAGGTTCAGTTGAAAACCAGCGTCAGGCACTAGATGTCTGGCGTTTATGCTGAACTGGACCTTTTTTGGTGCAGCTGTCGGGCACATGACTATTATTGTTGGTATTTTTAACCCTTCTAATGTTGCAGTCGGCGTAACTGATTACTTTTCTTGTGACTCTTTGAAAATATATTTTAAACTAGCTGACCTGGAAAACCTAAGACCGCTTTAAAAACAATTTCCTCATCTAATGAACCTTCACTGGACTTCAACGGTCATTTAACTCGTCGAGTACCGGTTTTGTAGACACAATTATAGAACAATAGGTTGCGGTCACCGGTGACCGCTTGGTGTTTGACAGTTTAACTCGTTGAGTACCGTCATTAT